GAGCATATGTTAGAATAATTACTGCAGCAGCATCACCACCATGTGCAACCGCATTGATTCTAGCAGCACATGACTTCATCCTCATATCGAAGCATTCAACAGCACCATCCTCACCACCACAAGCTATTAATCCATGTATATTGCTGGATGACAAAAAAAATAAATATAATGCTGAAACGTGAAACAACAGTGATCTGATACAGTGCAGTTCAACATTCTCCTAGTTCAAATATATACAAACCTTCGAGAAACAACATTCAGCGCTGGGGATTGAGTGCTGAGAGGAGAAAGAAATCTTCCCTGAGGAGAGAATACACGTTTCACAAATCATTAACATGGCCACACTGACTAAAACATCATATTCCATCGAAACATACCTGCTCCATATTGATTCTGTAAAGATCTGGTGAAGAAGCAGCACAAAGCAGATCACAAGAGCAGTTATCATATGTCATGTCTCTCCCCATCCTACCAAATAAAATGTGAGCTTTTAGACCAAGTCCACATATATATCTCACATACCAACAAAAGCTAAAGTACCTTGGGATTCGTAAACTGTGGTGTTTCCCGTATTTGGCGTGCAGATTAATAGAACGATCAGCACATAAGAAGGCAAGCTTTGAGTAGTCATTATCCAATATCTATAAACCCAACATACACGCACAGTTCTTGAAACCAGAAACAAGAACGGCTTAGAGACACGACTCGTGATGAAGCAGTAACGTTACCTCGAAATCAACTATCTCAGAGTCCAAATGTCTCTCAAACTTCAAAGCAAGCTGACTTAGCTCATAAACTTTGACCATGGGTGGATGTATACCTGTTCCATTTAACACCCGAGAAGACATTCTTTCAATTTCTTGTTAGGAGATATAAACATTTAACAAAAAAATTCATAATTTTCAGGGGTATAAATTCAAAAAATTATAGGGTTCAAGGCAGATGTTTTCATAGGGCTGTGGGGCATTGGAAATACTCCAGCAAAAATAAGTAAAAAATGAAAACTTTCCTGAAGCAACAAGATACTCTCCATCAGGAGTAACTTTGATTCTAGTACTTGCAGTCTGAAACTTCAAATCCTCAATAAGCTCCACTCTTTGCATATAATCTTTAACAGAACACAAGCCACATAACATGAGAAACATTCAAAGATATCATAAAGCTCCCATTAACAGAGCAAAACTAAAGCTATAAACACAAAAAAAGTCTTTGGAATAACACCATGGTTATAAAGAAAAAAAACACAGAGCAAAACTAAAGCTATGAACAAAAGAAGGAGATTTTGAGGCAGAGAGTTAACGACTCAGATAAATACTTACGAGGGTTTTTGCGAAGAGCTCGTTGCTTCTTAGGGTTTAGCCAAGAGGCAACATTGGGGGCAGATGAAACATGGTATAATTTAACTCCATTAATGGTGGTTGCCTTCAGTTTATCTCCATAAGACGCCATCTTCAAAGCAAAGACCACAATAATCCTATTACGCTTTGCTTCCGGCAAAACTAAACTAGACGACGACCAGTTATATAGGTTTCTGGTCTCTATTTCTTTATTGGGCCCATTGAAGCATAATGGACCTTTAAACAACCCTATGTTCAGTGGCTGAAACGAAAACCGAAATTACCACTTAATGGGCCTATATATTTCTCGAGACTTTTGAAACCCTAAATCCTTTAACCAAAACTTTTATGAGGGTTTTTAAAAACAATGAGTTATTTAATTAAATCAAAACTAAAGAAAATTGCTGTTATCGATTCTTAATATAGGATTTATGTGATCGATTACAAAAGGAGGGTTTTAACCCATGTGTCAGAAAAATAAATAACGAAGCACTTATATTTACTTTGATTCATCTTCACTATAATCTCTGTGGCATTTATCTCCCGCCTCCCTTCTTGGTGCGTTTCCATCTCCTTCATCCAACTGTTTTCCTTTATCTGTGAACTTTTGTAGTTTTATCTGCTGAAATTTGATTGGAATCTATTTGGTGTTTTTGAGATCCGTTTCAAGCAGAGTATAAAATGTAGTAGTAGTAGCATTATCCATTTATCTGTTCATAACTTGGGATGGTGTTGGTGTGATTTGAGTAATTTGACATTATCTCTGGATTTTAGGTTGTATAATAGCTTTTGAGACAAGGAAATGGAGAAATTGGAAGATCTGAAAATCATGGCGGAGCAGTGGTGGAATCAAGGAATTGAGTATCTTCAGAAGATACCACCGACTTAGCTCTATACCTCCATTGGTGTTCTCTTGTACACAACCATTTTGCTCCTCCTATTCTTCATCTCTTGTTAGGTCGTTAGTTTTGAAAGTGATGCAACCATCACTCGTTTGGTATTGATAAGTTGCATGTAGCCCCTCTTCTTCTAAACGTCATCAATAGCATTTCTTGCTTCTGTCAAGTGTCTCAACAGTTGAGGGCTTAAGCTATCATTTTGGATTGTGAGTAAGCCAGAGTACATCGTTCCTTTATACATTTATGCTCGAGTTTCTGAGCTTGAGTGACTGAGCTCTCTTCTCAAACTCAATGGAGAAGATGTCGAAGCTGGCTTTGGAAGGCTTCCTTATGTCTTCTTCTTTACCCCTCTTCTTGCTTCTAGATCCGGTAATGGTACAAGAATCTAAATGGTTTTAACCCATCAGATGTGTTACTAGTGGTTTGCCAGTATGATGATTGATGATCCTTGTACCTGAATGAACAAAAACAAGTAAATGATGTTCAGGACTTTGTACCAGACTATGATTTCGCCAGAAAACAAGTATCATCAATGAAGCCGTGTAACAGAGACTAGCTAGGAGCAGTTTCTCTGTATGTAACTAAAGGTCAAAACCTTCCAAAAAACGTACACTGATTAGGATCTATGTCGTAGAAAAATAGACAACGGATCTGCTGTGGTAGCTAACAAATCTCTATGTGCTTGCTATTACACAAAAGTGAAAGACTCACAAGTTCAGAAATAGGGGTTCAAGGGAGTAATCACCTCTTTGCGAAGAAGTCCAGGTACCAAAGCATATATCTCAAAGGAGTCCTTCTGTGAGTTCAAAAAGAAAAACAGATGACAGATTTGTTAAGATTCAGTCTAGTTTTGCTATTTTTTTGGGCGTTTCTTAAAGCGGCCTTTTGATCACCAGTTACTCACCGTTTCTTTGACAGTTTTCTTACCCCAGTCAGCAAGGGGTCCATCATCAACAACATCAGCAACCGACCTAAGGCGCCAAAATCATATTAGAAAATGTCAATTAATGCTTTGTTTTCATCCTATGAGAAATTCTTGTAGAAGAGAATATAATGCCTTGAGGAAAATGATTTACCAAGGATTTTGATTTTCTTATGCTTTGGCGTTGAGATTAAGCCCTTATCCTGAAAAAAAGAGAACATCGTTATGGTACAGAGAAAATTTATGCAGGTAAAGTAACAAAGTGCAGTAAGATTTAAAGTGAAATCTTAACACTAGTCTCACTAACCTCTCCAGATCCGACAAGGCGCTGTGTATGCCAAGTGCCAACCTTGCATAGCACGAGCTGCAGAATCTCTCCGAGCCCTGCCTGATCATGAACCTTGATGACTAAAAACCTACATCAAATTCCTCAGATCAGGGAAGAGAAAAACATTGTTATGCATATAGGTTTCAACATGGCCTATAAAAGCCTATAACTCGTATGCATATTAACATATTTAGCTGGTATTGCCATTCAAGAAATTCCTTTATGCATAAAATAATTTCTAAAAGAACTTTGAAGCATAGTCTACAGAACAAAAACAAGGTGACAGCAAAGTACCTGAGAAATCACAAGGTGAGATCATTTAAGCACCAAACATAAACTGAAAGTTATCTGACAGCAAAGGAAGAAGACATAGGAAGGGTATTTGATAGGCATGACCACAGCTTCTTTGAGAAACCTTTTCACCTTCTCTAAACCACTGATGCTTTCCCACTTCACATTTAGGTTCCCACGGATGATATCCCTGTAAAACAAGAATTCACTCAAATCATGAAACACACACATTAAGGATTTTTTAAAACAGATAAAACGCATGAGAGAAATCTAAATAGAAAAAAACAATTTAGGAGAGAGAGAGAGGGATATCTTACCGAAGAAGACGTAGAGTCCAATCATGTTCCTTTCGTAGGCTTCACCATCTGTACTGCTTCTTTCTGAAACCCATCAAACTGAAACACCAACATTCTTAGAGCATCATTATCCCAAAGACCCATTTAAGGTCTCTTAACTATTTTTTAAAAAAAATTTTTAGGTAATAAAAGTGAATTAAGAGACTAGTTAAGAGATTTCAACATTTATGTGTTTCAGTGCAAGTCTCTTAAACAAGGGTTCTTAAAAACACACAACACAACATTTATCATCACATCACACAACACTATCAATCCTATCTAACCATTAACTTCTCTTAAATAAAGGCCCTTATAAACACACAACGCTACATGTACTGAGACTAGGTCATTAGTTTGGAAAAAGGTACCCGATGAGTTCATCTGGAGAGGAAAGTCCAAGCGCTTTTAAGATGGTACTTGTGAGCATCGTTTCTGGACCATGACCATCATAAGCTCTAATCACCACCGTTAAGGCTTGTGCAGAAATCACATAGCCACTGTAAATAATCACATCATCATTCACATAATTATCATCGTTTAAAGAATCTCCATACGTGACAACATGAAACATGTGATGGTAAAGTCTATAGTTTCCATGACGAGTTGACTCATGCATCTCCAAAACCTTAAAAGAGGTAGTCTGAACTGATGATAAAAGAAAAACCCACTGGATAGGAGAATGTGAAAGCAGAGGCATTGCCATGTTAGTATGGGCATAAACCAAAGAAAGGAAAGAAAAATACCTTCCCCAATCACCTAAGATAGGTCCAGCACCAGATGCTCTAGCCTCCCTGCCATCGTCATCAAAGCCCATAGGATATACATCCGGTACTGGCTATCAAAACACATCCATGAAGCTTTCCCATAATCCCACTAGCTAAAGCCACTATAGCATCATTCGGAACATATACCTTGACATGACTAAGGAACATGTCCCTGAAATACATCACGAGAAGAGGGTAAGAAAATTAACACATCAAACTCCTATAACCATAAAAATGAGTACCACCTTATCCAACATTCAACCATTTCCCGGTCTGAAGGATGATTTACACCAGAAACACCTAAGCATACACCGCAGACATCTGATTTATCTGAACCGGACTGTACAAGTGCTTCAGAAATAACATGCTATGCATACGGAGTAAATAATGTACTGAATCAAAGTGGTACCCCACAAGTATAACCAAACATATTGCTGCAATGAAAGCCAATAGAGTAAAGAGCTGAGATGCTCTTAATGAGGGATCTAGCATACTCTTACGAAATCTGTAGTACTCTTATCTATTCTGATACTCTTCATCTCAATGGGAAAAGTCGAAAGTGCCCCTCTCTACTTGACCAATCAAAAACTTCTCTACTTAACCAATCAAAACGCTCCTCTGCTTGACCAATAAAAAAAGCGCGGTTTCTCTCTCTCTCTTTTAGTTTTAATTTTCTCTCTCCTCACTATTTCTTCTCTGAGTTTCTTCTTCTCTTCCGGTTTGGCTTGTCGAAGTAAGCTCTGCTCTAGTCACTCCTCAATTTCGTTCGATCCTTCATTTGTAAAGGCTGCGGCTCGCTTGGATGCTGAATCAGTGAATCCCCAACTCAGGTCAAATAAAAATTCAGGTAAAGCATTATCTTGGTCTCTAATTCATCTTATAACCAGTGGATTCGAATGAAATGCTGCATGTTAGGTTGGGATACAGTAGATATCGAATATTTGGGTTGTCGATTAGGGGAGAACGGGGAAAGATTTGGGAGTAAGATGGTGTGTTTGTTATGGAATTGGATTAACAACCAGAAATGTCGGGAATCAAAGCTGAATTCTGGAATGAATAGGGTGAAACTAGTAGACTATAAAAGTGTAATTTGCTGATTAGGTGAAACTGGTAGACTATAAAAGTGTTGAAACTTTACTCTTGACAAAAATGTGTAAAAGGGTATAACTTAGTATTACTTCAATAGCAAAACTGTATAACTAAGATTAACTTTAATTGTATAATTTTTATTTGGTACAACAAATAATGGTTTATTCTTCTACAAACATACACTTTGACTATGATGGACATTATGCGAAATCTGGTGATGATTATGAATGGATTCCAAGCGATCGTCATTTCTATGGTATATCCTTTAAGACATCATCATTGGATGAGATCACTCATTTGTTTTTGAAGGAGAGGATATGCAAGAAGAAGAGCATAGATCCGTTTTTAAAGAGGCTGAATCTGAGTTACATTCTACTGGTATTAGAACCTAAGAGGCAATCATATATTTTGGATGATGAAGATGTGTTTGTGTATCTAACATCAGTGGATAAAGAGGGAATAAGAAGTATTTTGCATGTAGAGGTCATCGAAGGAATGAAAATAGTTCCAGTAATGGAGCAACAATCAGTAGTTGAGAAAGAAAGCTCATATGGTGGGAACTATAGTGAGCTTGTGAGTGGATTACCCGAAGTTGAAGAAGCAGAACTATATCTACCAGGGGCTGAAGGGGTGGAGAATTTTGTTACTAGAGAAGCAGAGGAAAAGGAAGGGGGCATTGATGTTATTAATGGAGAAGCCGATGAAAGAGGCATTAATGTTGTTAATGGAGAAGCCGGTGAAGGGGGATTGGTATGGACAACATCGTTGACAATGAAGGCAACGTGGATAACTCCATGGGTGTTCGTCCTGTTTGGGACTATGCTGAGCTCACACGTGTTGCAAAAGAAATTCCAGTGGTTAAAGAGTTGGAAGATGGTTTGGGTATTGAGTTGTTTCAAGAATTTCCGAGTAAAGAACCTGTGAAAGATATGATTGATAGAGCATCACAACTGAAATGTTTCAGAATTAGTATCTCCAACTCGGACAAGATTCGATATGTGGTGAAATGTCGGTTAGCAGCTGAAGGTTGTAAATGGGGTGTGAGAGCTACAAAGATAAATAATTCTGAAGTGTTCACGATTAGAACATACATGAAGATGCATTCATGCTCTCGCGCAACTTCATGTACTGGAGTCAAAAGGAAAGTTACCCCAAGATGTGTTGCATCTATAGTGCATAAGGATTATCCGGGATTTATATGAGACACCAAGTGCGAAAACCCTACTCGGTCTGGTGAAAAGGAAATTGGGTGTGGAAGTGTCGTATACGACATGTTTGAGAGGAAAAAATCAAGCTGTTGCGGATTTGCGTGGTGATCCCGAGAAAGGATACAAAATATTGCCTTCTTATTTGTATATGTTAGATAAGGTGTACCCGGATACAAAAACAAGTTTGTTACTGGATGAACACAACCGGTTCAAATACTTATTTGTTGCGTTCGGAGCCTCCATTGAAGAGTTTGAATTCATGAGAAAAGTCATCACTGTGGATGCAACTTTCCTGAAGACTGTTGTAGGTGGTTGTTTAGTTATTGCCACGGCTCAGGATCCAAACCTTCACCATTATCCAATTGCTTATGGTGTCGTTGATGGGGAGAAAAAAGAAAGCTGGAATTGGTTTTTCACAACGCTGAAAACTGTTATTCCAGATTCGAAGGAATTGGTGTTTGTTTCAGACAGAAATGCATGTCTGATAAAAGATGTTGCTGAAGTGTATCCGCTGTCTAAACATGGGTTTTGTATATGGCATCTATCGCACAATGTGAAAGGTCATGTCAGACATGGGAGGGACGACGTTGCAAAACAATTCAGAAAAATTGTATGTATTTATTCAGAGACTGAGTTTGAAATGTAGTTGCAAGATTTTAGAGAGATGTATCTAGTGTGTGGTAGGTATGTTGATGAAACTGCCGATGTCAAAAATTGGGAGAAGTGTCATTTCCCCGGTGCAAGGTACAACATAGACACCTCTAATTGTGTGGAGTCTTTCAATGCGCTATTTAAAAAGGCGCGAAGCATGTCTTTATTGCCTATGCTTGATACAATTATTGACAAAATGGCTGAGAGGTTCAACAGACGTAGGAAGGATGCAGCAGCCGGACCGACATCTTGAAAATTGGTTCCTTTAGTGGAGAACAAATCCATGACAGAACACCGAAAGGTTCAAGACTTGATGTGATTCCGCTGAACACTTTTCAGCTTGAATACCGTGTTATTGGAGAAGATGGGAAGACTTATTTGGTGGATTTGCACAAGAAAACATGTAGTTGTAGGAAGTTTGATATAGATAAATACCCGTGTAGACATGCAATAGGCGCTATCATTAAGTGTTTGAAGCATGATAGACCAATACAGGTGAGTGACATGTATGATTTCGTCTCGGATTATTACTTCATTAGAGTGTGGGCCTTGGCGTATCGAAGGACTGTATATCTAGTCCCTCATATGTCTGATTGGATGGTTCCAAAAGAAGTCGCGGATAAGTGTCCCTTACCTCCAGAGTACTTGAAAAAAGGAAGACATCAGAAAAACAGGTTTCCTTCGGCAGGAGAAAGTCGGCCACGTCCTCGTCGTAATAAGTATAACCCGAATATTGGCTTGGCAAGCTATTTCAACTGCTCGCAAGGAACTGAAGGAACAGAAGGATCACGGGGAACACAAGGCACTCAATGATCACGAGAAACAAAAGGCACTCAAGGATCACGAGAAACACAAGGCACTCAAGACACTCAAGGATCACGAGAAACACAAGGCACTCAAGGCACTCAAGGCACTCAAGGCACTCAAGGAACTCAAGACACTCAAGGCACTCAAGGCACTCAATGCACTTAAGGTAGACAGGGAACACATGAGTTAATTTGTGAATGTAATACTTGGTGAAACAAGAGGAAATCTTCAAAAACTTTGTGAAAACATGCGTTATGTGAATGTGAAACTTGGCGAAACCTAATTAAAGTTATTGCGATATATAATTGTAAAACATGGTGAAAGTAGAGGAAATCTTCAAAAACTTTGTGAAAACATGCATATGTGAATGTGAAACTTGGTGAAACCTAATTAAAGTTATTGCAATTTATAATTGTAAAACTTGGTGAAAATTGTGTTATATTATTGTTGATTTGGAGTAATTACACCTGCGATGACATTACTTAATCATGTTTAAGGAATATGACGTAACTTATTCAACATGTTCTTAGATCCGTATCACGTGTACTGAAATTTTTTATAATCTGGATCACATTTTCTATCATTTGGGAAGGGAATACATCATTGTTAGATGTTTTTTTTGTATACACTACCTTGTGGGATTAGAAAAGTTACATATGTCACGAAAACAAATTGTTTTCTACACTGACACATCTAAAACCTTCATATAAAACAAAAATAGCTGGTATAACCATAAAATTAATTATCTAAGTACTGTAAAACCAACAAAATCGCGAAAAACAGAAAAGTAAAACTTAAAAGGTTTTTGTATAACAACAAACCAAGTGAAACTTTAAGCACGGAAATCATTTACAATTTTTTCCCGCCCAGATTTTTGAATTTTCCCACCCAGCTTTTCGAATTTCGAGTTTCCCCAAAATTGACATAGACGTATATTAAACCCATTGTTTTTCTGTTTCACCCATTTATTCATTCTCTCTCTAGATTGATTTGGCGAGAATTCAGATCTGTATTCTGTCCCTCTTCTTTCTAGAATTCTCGATTACTCAAAATCATGACTCATCCAGACGAGAAGTATAGGGAGATGAAGGCTTTGAAGAGAGAATTCGACATGCGTGGCTTCGTGGCGGATGCCCAGTGTGAGATTCTGACCAGATTCCCTTGTGGGGGTAGAATCATCAACGAGGTGTCTCGGGACCCAAAGTATCCAACCGATTTTGATACTTTACCGGGGAGAAAATACTTCACTTGCAAAAATTTTGAGGTAATTTATGGATACTTTCGGGTTTTATTTATGTGCAGATTTTGATACTTTTCCGTTTCACGTGTAGAATGATGGCTTCCATTTTCGTCAACCATGGGTCTTCGGAGTCCTGGAAAAGGTCGAAATGTTAAGAAGTGTGTGGATGCGATGGATAAGGAGATTGCCAAATTGAAGTATGAACTGAAGTATAAGCTTACCCGTCCGAATCCTACCACTCCATGAGATTCAGATTATGTTCCTCTTTTACCAATCTCTCATCTTATGTATTTATGGATTCTATGTTATGTTCACCCGAGCATCTATCTATTTCAGTTACGTTATGAACTATTCGTTATGAAATCGACATTCAACTCATCCTATGTTAGATTGTTATGTTTTCGAAGAAAGTTAAGTTGAAAGTGAAACTTTGAAAGTTTCTCCCAATCTCCCTCTTTTTCGAGATTTTCGAAGGAATTTAGGTTTACGAAGTTAGACTAAGTTGAAAGTGAAACTTTGAAAGTTTCTCCCATTCTCTCTCTTTTTGGAGTTAGATTAAGTCTTAAAAGAGTTCATCTTAAAAACATGAAAGTCTTAAATAACTTAAGTTTTAAACAACAAACATGCAAGTCATACGGAAATTTAACTATGTCATATAAACCGAATAGAGTTCAGCCACATTAAAACAACTACAAATGGATTTCACTCCGTCTTCTTACCTACCTTCTTTATCTTACCCTTCTTTGGCTTCAGGGGTGGCTTCTTCTGGGCTGCCTTCTTAGCTGCTGCCTCCTTCACAGCTGCTGCCTTCTTCTTAGTTGCTGCCTTCTTAACTGCCTTCTTCTCAGCTGCCTTCTTTGCACCTCTGTTCTTCTTCCCTGCTACCTCTTCCTCTGCTGCCTCTTCCCCCGCTGCATCCTCATCCGCTGCCTTCTCATCCGCTGCCTCCTCCTCCTCCGCTCCCTTCTCCCCCCCAAAACTCATGCTTCTTGTATTAACGGGACTCCTCACTTTTCCTAAATCCTTTGTCTTTTTCAAAGGCTCTACTTCTTTTCCATCATCTATTCTCGCCCTCTTTTTTTTCTTTCTTCTTTGCCTTTCTCAGCCTTCTCAGCCTCTGCCTTCTCATGCTTCTCAGCATCTGCAGTCATCTGTGCAGCATCTTCATCCATGTTAGCATCAACATCACCATGTTCCTTCTGCACTTCAATTGTAACATCGCGAATGTAATTATTTACGTCATCTTCTTCCTCTGACTCCTTAGTCTCCTTATCACCACCATCCTCTTCCTCCGATGCCTTATCAACATCATCATCTTCGTTCGATTCCTTATTATCCTCCGATGGATTATCACCACTCGACCTAAGACTTTTCACTTCGTCTTCTAGAAGAGTTAGCTTGTCAGACAATGAAGAGACTGTTTTCTTTAATTCCTTCACAGCATCTTCGACTGCTTTCATAAGCCGACCGTCCATCACTTTTAAAGCCCCAGGTCCAGTATCCTCCACCGAATCTGCATGAGCCTTACAGATGGTCCTCCGATAGTATCGGTGGGACCTTTAAGCTTTGCTGTGCGAGCCTCACAGTCGATGCGGAACTATTCTTCAAAAAAAACTTGTGTCGAGCCTTTCTGTAATATCTTCGACCAACGATCAACTGCTGCATTATCGGAGTCATCGGCCCAACAACTTTCCTTGTCCATCCCTATGGTTTCCAGAAGTTTCTTCTCAGCTGTTTTTGCTACCAAAATACTCTCAATATCCTATGACAAATACACAAAAAATATTAACTGCCTTAGTTTCACCAAGTTTTCATAAGTCTCATAAGTCCCTTCACTAAGTTTTCCTGGTTTCACCAAGTTTTCATCAGTCGAGTTAATACAATTATCTCACCTTTGTATCAGTACCAAGTTTATCGTCCATAGCATTCAGACTGAATTCCTTGGTTCCACTTTTGCGTTTGTACTCCATCTTGCACCTCCGCGGGAAATCATGGCATGCACCAATCACATTTTCTCGGAAATGTTTCCTTAAGCTTAGGATTGCCTCAAAGGCCAACAACTACGAACATACAACAAATAAACATTAACTTCAATTTAACAATAACACAACTAAGTACAAGAGAGCTTAAAAATACCTCCAAAGGAGTAGGAAAGCTTGTAAAAACCCAACTCGTCGGTGCAATCTCGTCGGGTTTCTCCAAGAACCTAGAGACATCCTTCCAGTTATGTTCGAATGCATACCAACCCCGAGGGAACGTTAAACACGCATCTAGGTCATCAACAATAGTCAGGAAGAAACTGTCCACAGGTGATGTTGCCTCACCAGTCTTTCGACCTCCGACAAGGATGCTGGCTAATAAGTACAGAACGACCATCTTCTTACGATCCTCAGATGGCTTTGATTTCATTGACAACATCTGCTTCTCGACGTCAGCGTATGTTACCATTTTCCCTCCAAAATACTTGTTCATGAATGCTGTACCACCCAACCTCTCATGGTTGGGGGGATACTCATGGCAGTATAGTCCAGAAATGAGTCCTAATTCTATGAGCGAGTATCGGATTGGGACACCATTAACGATAAACCATAACTCATTTTTCTTTGCTACACAAGCTGATCGCAAAACAAGAAGCCACAGTCCCATCCACTTCTGCTTTCGGTTTTTGATATGGAAGAAATGTTGGAACTGTGGGTGCTCTATGAACCATACCATCTCCTTCTCTGCATATTTCTTATGCAAGTGTCCATGTAACATTTTCCTGAAAGCTTTAAAGACTTTTGATACTGGCTTGAAGGAAAGTGAAACTTCAGCGGTTGCATGCCTTCATGCTTGTCATCTACAACCTGCACTCAAGTGAAAATCAGATCACATACGACATCTTACAACCATCAACATATAGTTTCACAAACTTCGACTTTGTTCAGCAATCATTCATTTAAAGTTTTTCTTGATTTCACAAGGTTCGTACATCTATATTGTTGCAGTTCCACTCAGATTCACAAAGTCATCAACGCATTACAAGTTTCACTTTGTTTCTCCAAATTACACTAACTTAAATTGCACTTAGTTTTCCACAATTATCTAATCTCTTCAAATCATCTTTCCTACTTACCGACTCTGCATGCGACTCAGTTCCATGTGGTCGTACAATTATCGCCGTTTCATCGTTTCTTCGGAGCTCCATTTCCTCTTCCACTTCTTTCGTCTCCTTCTCTTCTTTATTCTATTCGTCTCCGGCTTCCTTCTCTTTTTCTTCTTCGTCTACAGTTTCCTTCTCTTTTTCTCCTTCGTCCACGGCTTCCTTTTCTTTTTCTCCTTCGTCTACGGCTTCCTTCTCTTTTTCATCGGTTCCCGGGGCGACAGATTTGTCGATGCGGCTTGGGTTTGCTTCATCTCCAGATAATATAACCATAGCCGTGTCATCTCCTCCTACACTACTCGAGCCGTCTTCTTTTGACTTCGAATCGTCTTGATTCAGCATGATTTGGTTTTGATTCTCGATTGACTAGGATTTTCAGAATTTCAATTTGTGCGAACGGTCGACAAAGAAGAAATTAGGAGTAATTAGTGAAACCCATTCTTTATTCTTTTTTTTTTGGGTCGGTTCAGGGTCCGGGTTTGGATTGTCGTAGGTAAAGTTGTAATTATCTAAGTTTCTCTTGGTTTCGTGTTGTTTTAATAGATTTTCTGATTTAAATAAAGATATATTAAATTCCGAATCCGGTCAGTTTCGGGCAGGAGTACTCAGCTCTTTTTTTTCGGGCAGGAGTACCTGAGCGTTTGATTCAAGCCAATAGAACTATATATCCACATTTCATAGGAGTAGAACGAAAGAACATTACATAATTGAAAGTATTAAGACTCTACTCTGTCAGATACAGAGACAGAGAAACCCACCACGCATACTGCGTAGAAACCGAGATAGAAACCGAGAGGTTTTGGCACGAAACAGTTACAGCTGCGAGACCGAAGCTTTCTGAAAGTAAGCGACGGGAGTTAGAAGGAGAGATCAACGGAAGTTGAGTGGCGTATAAGACGGAGGAAGAGCAAGGTCTAATTAAAGGAGAGGAAGAGACATGGAAACCACTTGACACAGCCATTGGAGAGGAGAAGCTGAAGCACATAGATGAAAACAGATAGAAAGAGAACCGCCAACCGAGAGAGAGAGAGCGAGAGAGAGAGAACCGAGAGAAACAAAGTCAGCGCCTTTCGATTTCGATTAACAAAACATTTGCTCGAATTCGACTCAGTTTGTGCGATGATTGTGAGTGAAAGAGAGAGAGACAGAACACGAAAGAACGAGAAAGCAATCGGGTTTTTCCCCTTCTCATAAGACGCTAACACGTGTCTTCAAGATACGTTTTCTCCATCCCCTCTTTAGTATACGTATGTTCGTTTAATTGCTATTTTTTCTTTTCATTTAATCCTAATAATGTTTAATATACCCTTTAAGATATAGGGATAATGATGCTCTTAGATCATGAGTCATGGTCAGGGCCGGCTGACTTTGGTATTGAGCCCTGGGCCAAAACAAATTATTTTGTTAGGGTTTATATATAAAACTTAATAAAATATATAGGTTATTCAGCAAATTTTCAAAATTTAACGCCCTAATTTATAAAGGAAATTTGATAAAAATTGAGGGGACCCTGTACAAATGCACTGTTGGCACACTCTCTAAGCTGGTACTGGCCATGGTCTCAGGGATAAGAGACGAATCTCCGTCAAGCTTCTTCTCCATCATCTTCCACCAAGAATAAAACAAATCAGAATCAAACTCAGAGAGAGAGAGATAGATTACAGCAAGATAGGTCCGGCGAGAGAGAGGCACGTGAGACACGTCCGACTAGAGAGTGACTTGGAGGCGAGCTAGAGATCTGGCGTGGTGGTGGAGAGAGGCAGTCCGTCGTGAGTGAGAGAGGCATGGGAGAGAGAGATCTGAGAAAATTTTGTATGACGGTTGAGAGGGTGAGAAGAGAGTACTAGTGTTTTTTCTTTTCTTTTGATGGTTTATTTGTTTCTAAGAGAATTTTGGTTCATGGTTATCAAACTCAAAACCAAAGAATATCATGACTAACTTACATTCGCTAATCTATCTTGAAAACTATTCAGTTTTTTTTTTAAATCTAAGGTTACATCATTTGTAAATGTCAATAATTACATGATTATGATTTTTACTAACCAAAATATTTTTTCTAAAATTTATAAATTATTTTTAAGATCTTCAGTATGAGAAGACTTAACTAAAAGTCTTTTCACTAGCAAGGTTATAATGGTAAACTACAATCATGTTTTTTTGTTTGGTCATGAGGAGATGTTTGTAACTTCACAAGCTTTTTGAGTTATTTTGCATTTGATTTGAGTTGGGATACACTTTTACATTTAAAATCAAGTTTTGAGTTATATTTAGTAAATCTCCCCAGATTTTTTTCATCTTGCAAAGCAAATAGAACAAAAAGATGACTCAATTGAAGAATTAGAAGAAGAGATAATGTGTATTACTGAAAATACTAAATTATTTTTGCATTTGATTTAAGTTGGGGTACACTTTTACATTTAAAATCACGTTTTGAGTCATATTTAATAAATCTCCTAGGTTTTTTCATCTTACAAAGCAAATAGAACAAAAATATGAGTAAACTGAAGAATTAAAAGAAGAGATAATGTGTATTACTGAAAATCATTTTCAAACTACAAATATGAGCAATAAACAAACATTTTATAATTATTGAAAAGTGAAGTTTCAATAGATATCTCATCTGTCAAGTAGGACGATGGAACATGGCCAACTTCATTTACAAAATGTCCTTTGTCAATACAAGACACAATATCACAAAAATCTAGAACACTTATAGAAGAAAATAAATTTGTAATGGAAGGGTAGAAACTTCGGAATGAAATTCTCAAACTCTTAAACATTAAATTATTCTCTGCTAAAAAAGAAACTTTCAGTTTGTTTTATGATGAGAAGAAAAAAATTCTATCTGGTTCTTAAATTCTAAAAATAGTTGTTCCACAAGAACAAAAAAGTGGTTATAAAAAAAAGAATAAATAAAAGTGAAGCATCCATTTACACAATTTGTTTTATTCCGAATAGACATACAATTTGATTGACACACTGACATACACAGATACACTAACACACCTGACTCTATATGAAGGTTAAGTCTATTAAGATACGGGTAAAAACGGAATGAAATCAGTGAGGAAAGAGAGGAAAGTAAACTACTAAGAGCATCCACATCAATGAACCCCCTCTTGGGGTTCATTGAATCATTTTTTTATTATTAAAAATTTTCTGTTTTCTTTTTGATTTTTATAAAAAAAAAACAAAAAAAAAATCTAGACCAATTTCGAGCCGCCACGTGTTGAACCCCAGGAGAGAGGGGTTCACCGGGATGAACTTTAGGAGAGAGGGGTTCATAGGTTTTTGTTATTTTATTATTTTTTTTTCTTGATTTCCGTGTGAACTCCCCCCATGAACCTTCAATGGGGGTGCTCTAAGAGCATGATTATCCCATGATCATGAAGTGGATTTCTTAGTGATTATTTAATACTTTAAATGTACTTTAGTGGGGGTTTTTTTTTTTGTCAACAACATAAAAACAGATTATAACTAGACTCTGTAAACCACACTGATAACTTCGCATCCATATGAACAACATACGACGGCTGCTTCCTAGCACTACGTGCTAAACTGTCCGCCTTTGTGTTAAGTGTTCTGGATATATGAATGATCTGAGACTGAATAAAGCTTCCTTGCAGTAGCATGATGTCCTCCAAATAGTGTGCGAACGCCGGCCATTCCTCTGGTGAAGAAACCATCCTAACCAACTGAATGCAGTCCGTCGCAAATGTGACATGGGATTGTCGTAAATTTTTCATACTCTCCATAGCCCATATTAAAGCCTCCATTTCCGAATGCAATGACGATAGATAAGCTCGCGTATTCCTCACTCCCATCAAACTCTGAAAACCTGGAAGAGTACTATACCATCCTTGTCCCGAGAACGTGTCATTTGCTTTCCATGATCCATCCGTAAAACACCAACGTCCTGGTATCTGTGACACTAACCCCAGCTTTCTCAAACACATTCCCATCTTGCAAAACGCGGCTGATTCCACCTCCTCCACCAGGTCGAAACCAACCATTTTCTTTAAACTCCGGACCGTCTTCAACAGCTTCAATGGTTTCAAAAACACTGTCTTGAGCAGCTCTAATCATGGCTTCAAAACGAGCCATGACTGAAGAATGAGTGATGAGTGAAGTCGTCAGAGTCTCTGAGGAATGTGAAGGATCGTTCTGTTTCGGGGACTTCTTTCTCTATTGAGACAGAACATCGGAGGGAGTGATTGGGTTTAGTCTTGATTGGTCGGGAGAAACAAACAGTAGAGTGAAGAACGTGATGGAGACGACGATGAGAGGAGAAAGAAGCGACGGCGTGAGGAGAAGAGAGAATACGGAGGAGACGCGGTGAGCCACGAGAGAATCGGCGGTGAGTATCGCTCCTTCTACATAGTGTTCCAAAACGAAAACAGACTAAAAGTTTGTATTAATGTTGTAAAACTCAATTTGGTGAAAGAACTAATAGTATTACACAAGCATGAACGTAGTTCTACATAGTGTTCCAAAACGAAAACAGACTAACTACTAGTATTACACAAGCATGAACGTAGTTCTACATAGTGTTCCAAAACGAAAACAGACTAACTATTAATATTACACAAATATAAACATAAGTCTACATAGTGTTCCAAAACGAAAACAAACTAAAATTCAAATATTTCGATTTCCTAACAACAACCATTGAAGGCTTTGTCTTGGACGCCTTTTATTTTGCGTCCTTGGTCGACGTTCCCCAGCTGATGGAAACCTTTTCACTTTCTTTCTTCCCCTCTTCTCAACACGTTTTGGAGCCACGATCTTCAGTTCTTTGATGTAATCCGGGACATCACATTGACTCCTATCTGGAACCACATAAATAGACCTGTAATATGCCAATGCCCACAACTCTGTCCAATAGTACTTAGAAATCAAATCTTCTAACACGAAACCAGGATCACTCTCAAGTTTAGAGTATAAAATGTAAGCCGCAATACCGTGGACACAAGGATACTTTTCGATGTCAAAAAACCTGCAACTGCAAAGTTTTGCACGTTAATTCACCAAATATGGCTTCCCATCAGTACCGACGACATTGTATTCGAGGTTGAAAGAGTTTATCTCTGACACAATTAGTTTTTTTGCTTCCTTCCATGAGTCATGCACAAATTTCTCCACTAGAGGAACTAGTTTCCGCTCACTGGATCCTCTAACGGTTTCTTTCCTATGTTCATTAAACCAATCAGCAGTTTTTTTAATAATCGTATCCAGCATCGGTATTAAAGAGTACTTCCTAGCATCCTTGAACACGCTGTTCATCGACTCCACAACGTTGCTTGTGTCAATGTTGTATCTATCCCCGGGAAACCAACACCTCGCCCACTTTTCTTTCTCACTACTTTCCTCCAAATACTTTGCAGCAGATGGATATCGAGTCTTGAAACCAGAATATGCAGCATCGAATTCAGACACAGTGTAAATCCGAGCCATTTCCATAAATTTTGTTTCGACTGTGTCTTTGTTGACGTTTCTTGCATGACCTTTTACATTTTGAGCCAAATGCCAGATACAATGCGCATGATGAGCCATTGGAAATACGTTAGCTATGGCATTGATAAGGCTTCCATTTCTGTCACTCATAAACGCCAACTCCGATGAATCTGGCACAACAGTTTTGAACTGCTCAAAAAACCAACTCCAGCTTTCATTATTCTAACCGTCTACCACACCAAAGGCTAAAGGATAGTGGTGTTGGTTAGGATCTTGTGCTGTTGCAAAAACGAGTACACCACCAAATCCATTTTTCAGAAAAGTAGCATCCACGGTTACAACTTTCCTCATCACTTTAAAACCTTCTATGCTAGCTCCCAGAGCGATGAACAAGTATTTGAATCTGTCCGACTCATCCTATTTCACACTTGTTATTGTTTGATCATTAATCTTCTCTAACATGTACAAGTAGCAGTACAACATCTGATAACTTTCTTCGGGAGTCTCACGCAAAATGCTCACAGCTTCGTTTTTACCTCTCAAAGCCGTGGAGTATGATATATTGACACCCAGTTTTGACCACTCTAGCTCCTTGATACTTTTAGCAGGAGGGGTTTCCATTTGGCGTGGATAATCATCATGCAATAGAGATGCAACTAGCTGTGGCGTGCCTTTCCTCTTTGAGTTGCAATTACTCTGACTTCCATGAGAGCATGTATGCATCTTATTGTACGTTCTAATGGAGAACATTTCCGTTTTTTTAATCTTCGCAGCCCTTAGTCCCCATTTACATCCTTCCTTAGGACATTTTAGAACTAATCGCTCCTTATTTGATTTGACTACATTAAACCCAAAAGTTTTCTTACATGCACCTCTATCGACGACTTCTTGTACTGCTTTTTTACTAACAAACTCTTGATGTATTTTCAAACCAAGACCGTCTTCCCATTCTTCCATAAACTGAATTGGTTCTGCAACAGGTGGAACATCTACATATCTATCACACATTCCAGTCTCTTGCCTATCATTATCCACATTCCCATCAACATTTTCATTCACATTGCCATCAAAATTTTCATCCACATTTATTTCTTCAACACCTCTTTCCAACATCTCCTCAATTGCCACAATTTCTCCACATTTTTCCAACATCTCCTCAATTGCCATAATTTCTCCACCTTTTTCCAACATCTCCTCAATTGTCACAATCTCTCCTTCCGGTTGTGGATCAACATGATTGTTGGCACAATATAAAGTTATCGCTTTCTCTCCGATTTCATCAACATTCGAATGCAACACCTCATAGTTCATACCTAAAGAACTTCGTTTTCCCGTTCTTCAAAGTTGCTCTGGGAGTTCAGACCTTCGGATCATCTCCACAAACAAAATGCACCTACGGTTGTCTTTATCAACAGAAAATAGATAACCACTGAGGTCCTCATCATCAGAAATGGAAAATTTTTCCTCACTCCCAATTAGCAGTGAAATGTAACTCAATTTCAACTTCACTTTACTTTCATCTACCGCCAGCTTCTCACATATTCGGGATTCTACCATTTATCTCATTCGTATCATTCTTGAACACTAAACAATACATCTGACCTTCACATTTGAAGTGTATGATGACGTTGTTGCTCATTGGAACCTGTCAAAACCATATATACAATCCATTATTCGCAACCAGAAACTTTTGAATTTATATCAGTATTACTACTTATACCACAATTATCAGTAATACTAGTTTCACTAGTATTACTGTCGTACCAGTTTTGATTGATATTCAAATCCACCTTCAATGCACTACAAATGAAACAATGCAGTCATTCTCCTATTCAGTTCAAGTCATAATGGAGCTCAAACACCAAGATGCAACATCTAAATCCAATATAATCAGGTTTCTCAGCTACGCATCATCTCTATTTAAGCATAAACATACACGCTTTAAACCTCCTACGGTGGAGGATAAACCAGCGATGGACAGGATAGATAATTGGGTTTTTTATACGGCACCGGAGGGGAGAACCCAGGCGGAGCAACTTTCGAGTCGGAGAGGTGAAGCTGAGAGGAGTAATCGAACGAGATTGGAGAAATCGACTCCCGAACGCAAATCATAATAAAACGCAACTCTCCCCAACCGCATTCCGCAAACGTCTTCAATTTTTAATTTTGTTTTTTTATTTTCTTTTCTAATATCCGAAGGCCAATTTCGTAATTGCAGTTTGTTTAATGAATATGAGGGATATGAAGATTTGGTAGGGATATAAGTGATTTAAATTCTTTGTCTAAGGGCATCCGAGCCATTTTCTCGTTGCTGACACGTGGTTATAAAACTTACCTAAAAACTGGTTGCCAAAACTCCCCATTAAGGATCGGTAATCTACTTGTTATTTTCTTTTGATTTAATTAAATCATCAATTTTCTTTAAAACCTCCCTTTAGGATCCGCGATAATCATGGTCTAAGGACATCTCCAATCAGTCCTCTCATTTTTTTTGGGTTACAACCTTAAAATAAGAGGATAGTTCTTCATTGTTGTCTCCTCAAATATTTTCTTTTATTTTACAGTTTAGTCTTTAATTTTATTAATAATTAATTATAATCATTGAGTTTTAATAGTTAACCAATAAATACATACTAATGTATGATATTGACAACATTAGTAAACACATTTAGTAATAACACCAAATTATTTATAAAAGAACATAAAATAACATATAATAATAAAACACATACAATTCAAATTACAAATATATATAAAATACAAAACTAATCAATACGATTATTTCCGTAATGTTCCCATATATACTCAATCAATGCATTTTAAGTGATAAATGAGCATCTTTATTTTTATCATGACATTGTAAGTTTAAATTATATTAGTATGTGTTATTTAATTTTATTAGTGTTTAATATCAAATCAAGTTTTTTTAATTACAAAATATTTGTAGATGGACAAAGCAAAGAAATTATTGATGCAAGATCCAAAATTGAAAAAAAAGTTTTAAATTTGATCATGTGTGGCTTTTGATGAAAGATATCCCAAAGTTTTCAGATAATGTCAATATCGGTATTCTGGATATTGAAAGTGATACTGTCGGTTCTCCAGCATCACAATCTCCTGGATTTTCTTCATCTACAATCAATTTAAAAATCAATTTAAACAGTGATGATGGTGGTTCAAATTTGTCACAACGTTCTATTGGATCGAAGAAAGCAAAACTCAAAAGAAAACTTGATGAAGGTAATACTTCTGTGGATAATTTAGTTTCATCAAATGAACAAATCCTAAATTTCTTGAAAGAAAGTGCATCATCTAGGGAAAAAAATAATGAGATGGTTCTGTTACGCATGCAAAATCAAGCAAAAACTTTAGCTCTAAAAGAAATGGAGGAATAAAACAAAATATTGTTAACAAAATTTAAACTCCATTGATGATATTAGCACTCGCCAATTTATCCGGTCTGAACAAGCAAGAATCATACAAAAAAACTCAGCAACAACAATCTGAAGAGACTCCTTCAAATTTGCATCGACCATATTTTGGTGATTTTTAAGGTTCGAGACCAAATTTACCTGAATTATATATATATATATATATATATATATATATATATATATATATTTATATATATATATATATATATTGTAATGTGTAATATTTCAGTTTATGTGTTAGATTTCAGCTTATTTTAATGTGTAATATTCCAGTTTATTATTTAATGAGTAATATTTCATGTTATTATTTTAATGTGTAACTAGATTTTGACCCACGCTTTAAAAGCGCGGGTATATTTTTACCATTTTGATAAAATTTATTTAAATTAATTATTCAAACACAAAAATTTTAAAATTGTTTTATTAATATTTAAAAAGTTCTATTATAATGTGATTTTCACGTAATGTTTCCATATCCGACCCAGATCCATAGTTGAACCGGTACATCCAACAATTTTTATATAATCCAGTTAAGATTTAATTAAAAATTTACTAATTAAAAATTTAAGCCAACCCGGTATATATCTTAAACCCCGCTATTAATTTGTATTATGATATCCGTTGATCCGTTAAATAACTCCATAAAAACTGATAATATATTTTTAAAAATTTGTTAAATAATTCATATTTTTAATATTAAAGAAAATGAATTTTTTGTAATTTCTTTAATAAAAAATTTCTTGTCATTTGAAAAAATGAAACAATGGCAATAGAAAAAAAAAACACAATTTATTCATATAACAATATTAGTTTCTTTTTTCGTTATCAATAACCTATAATAAGTTTACATTTTTACTCATTTTATATATAAAATTTAGTTATTAAAACAAATTGAATTGACATATCATTATTATGGATAAAATGAAACAGTAAATAATAATTTATAATTTTTGATCGCTAAATAATATGATGCACGGAAGTATGATATTAAAATTAAATAGAAAATCATAATTTTCATAAAAGGAAATTATTATTAATCACAAAAATAGGAAATATTATCAGTTACTATAAATATAGGAAATATTAAATTGTTTAATTGATTAAGATTCTAAAAATAAATAGTGGTATTATCTTATAAATGTGATAAAAATCTAGGGGTAGAATCCAAAATTTTAATAATAGGATCCTGCTTTAATAGTATAGATATTTTATCTTATTTTAATGTGTAATATTTCAGTTTATTTTAATGTGATATATTTTAACTTATTATTATTATTATTATTTAAAGTTGAGTATATAAGATTAAAATTATAATAATTAAGTTTTAATATATTTATGATACTAAAATGCAGCATGAGAAACAATAAGTACACAATCCTTAAACATACATAAATAGAATGACTAAAGTGAAAAGTGAATAGTGTTTTAAGAGGGTGAACAGTGCACACTCAAATTTGAGGGTGCACTATTCACCCTCTTAAAATTTGAGGGGATAAGGGGCTATTGGAATGTAAAACCTTCAAAAAATGAGGGGATAAGGGACCATTGGAGATGCCCTAATTACAGTAAAGATTGAGGGCTTAGACACCAATTATTTGATAGAAGAACACATCCAACTGAGTTTTCTTACAATAATAAAAGTTGAATATACTCAACTCTTAACATGTCCACGTATTAAATAAAATCAACCAATGAGAATGAGTTATTTGCACACATCACTACTGCTTTGGCGGGTATTAGATAACTAACGGACCATTGTATGGACTCATAAAATTTCATTATGGCCCATAAGGAGCTCATCTCTCCAACCCCTAATCTCCGATGGAACGTCTACACCTTTTGAATCACTGCATCCCGCTGTTATCACAACCCATTATCATCATTCAATTATGTTTTTTTACGCTTTCCTTGATTTTGTTTCACCTCCCTCTCTTTTTCCTCCTATTTAAATATGTTACTCGATCTTACATCCAAGCAAATTCTACAACCTCAACATATAGCCATAGTCATGCAATATGTTATCAACCTGAAAGTCTCCCCGGTCACCAAATAATTAGTCTTTGTATATTTAAGGGACACATCACCAGGGCCAGCTGAGCCGGAACTATGATTTCGGCTAATTTGTTTGCATCACGAGGAGCTCACCAGTGGTTTGGATCTGCTATGTCAAATCATCATTATTCACAACCTCCTAACAATATTCTTGCTGCTCCGTCCGATGATTAATCTCCGATTACAGGTTCAATCACAACCTCTTCATGGTTTTGATTGAATTTCACATGGTTCGAAGGAATACATTGTATCTTTTTTTGTTCTCATGAGAGCAAAACGTAAGTTGTTCTGTAAGAGATCCTATCATATCTTAATGACTGACTTGATTTATCTCATTTTAACTGTTCTCTTTACTTCCACCACCAACCTCCGTATCACCGCAGGGATGAGCCTCCTCGTCGTCTCCGTCAACAAAGAGCTCGAGATGGTCACATCCGTTGCAGCGAGAGACTCTACATGAGAAAAGAAGCTCTGCGATTTTGTCTTTCTTGATTTGAATTTGTATAGATAATCTTTAGCAGCAACCATGATTGGGTGATCGATGATATGGAAAATATCGGAATCTCCTCGCCGGAAATACTCTCTCCAGCTATCTAAAGAAGCTGATGGTTTCATCTTCGTCTGATCGATAGGAATCTGATTCTGTTTTCTTGGTGAATCTTAATCTAAAGTGATAAATTTTCCTGGAAAATTATAAGGAGAAGGAAGAAGATCAGAGAGGAGGCGAAATCAAATACAAAATCTACTCCAAAAGGGATTGTGATCGAAAGAATCTAATTGGTAGTTCTTTTGATTTGTTTTAATAATCTTTTCCGAATCCGAATAAACTTTCAAGGAATGTCCATGATTTTTCAGAGAAAATTAGAAAAGATGAGAACAAGAGAACATAACAAAAGAGAGAGAACATGGAAGAGTTTTGGTTACATTTGAGTTTGACTAATCTAATATCCCAAGTGCTGATACTGCTCCTACGTTAAACCGGGTTTGGTTTAATTCAATCTTTGACGAGAGAGATTAATTATTTTTTATTTTTGTGTCTGTTTGGTAAAAGATAGTTTTTCTTTTCAAGTTGGATTTTTCATTACGGCTTTCTTCTTTTGACCTAATGATCAGTCTTTTTTGGCATTTCATTATTTAAAAGTAATAGTTAAACTATTCATTCATCTTCTCTGAATTGTAAACTTTAAGAAAATTAATTATATTTGCTGAATTCTTATTGGTTGAAAATTATAGAAAATAGATAATCACAAATAATTATGTATTTAATATTAAAATTTAATGGATTTTATCTGCCACTGTAAAAAAATAAAATATGTATTATTTTGAAACAAAGAGAATATATATCTTAAGTTATACAATTCACTTCAACATAAACACCAATAATCTAAAGAAAAAGATAGCAAACAAGTTTTGATACATAGAAAAGTTGCAAACTAAAATATTGAAAAAAATCTCTAGTATTTAATAATTAAAGAAAAAATCTCTAGTATATAATAATTAAAGAAAAAGTTTAAAACTAAAATATTGAAAAAAATAAGGAAAAATCTTCATTATGCGACCAATGAGAATTTTAAGAGCAGCATCAACCGGGAGTTTTAGGGAGACGCTTAGGAGGGGGGACCACAAAAAGAGAAAGAAAGAAGAAGCAGCGCTGCCAAAAACGATGGAATAAGCAGCATAGCTTGTCCTGTTTCGTGGGTTCCATGCCACATGGCGGCCCACAATTGATGGACTTTTTTTCTTACATAAAAATGCAAAAAATAAATAATAAACACTCCCTGTGCCTTGATGCTGCTCTAAGAGCATATCCAACAATCATATCTAGTTATCAAGAAAAGTTAAAAATAAATTAAAAAGAAGAGAAACAGTGGATATGTGCCAAGAAGTTCTTTGCGGCGAACTTTTTTGACATCAAATAAATACTCTGAGGCTGAATATACAAATTTTCATTAATGTATTTTTTTCCTTATCAAAACTACTATTCCCTTTGGATTTAAAAGTATGATGTTTAAGGTTTTGCAAATATATTAAGAAACTAGAAATCAACTCTTTTAATTATTAGTTTTGGTTTTATCAATAAAGTTCAACCACTCATAATTTTACCTTTTAATTTATATTTAATTTTAAAAACAATTGCATCAATTATATCTTAAAACATCAATCTTTTATATACAAAGTAAAAATCTAGAACATCATACATATTTAAATATGGAGGAAGTATTATTTAAGCTATGAGATACTCATCCACCAATTCCTTACCCTTGTCAATATACAAATGGTTCAGACATTTAATTTACATCAATATTTAATATTTTAATATGTTAAATAAAAACAAAGTGTAGTTATACGTCGTTATTCAGAACCTACTTTTGAGGATCCAACCGATAAAGTTGCCCGGATAATTCCACTCACACAACAATAACAAAACAAACAAACAAAAACAAAAGATACAAACGATATGCATTCCGCTAGTAAACAAACTACACCACAAACATTGTATTCGTTTTGCGTTTGGTCACTCAGTTGTTGCCCTCATAAACAGATTTATCAAGAACCCAAACGGCTGGCCAATACACAGACCCGATCCATAACTTACCATCTTCCCTCTCATAAGCTTCACTAACATACTTCATCGTTTTCCCTTCAGTATCCTCAAGCGTCTCAATAATCTCTCCTGTCTCTCCAGAAAGTTTTAAGATGATTCCATGAGGTTTTCCTCCGTTCATGAGATGAACTACTGTCTCCATCTTCAATGTCTTCATGAAAAACTTTCCAACCCAAGAGTGACTAAGAAACAAACGAGTAACCACATTGTTCTTGCAGTGCAACGCGACCCAAAAATCGCCCGTAGGGGTACGTCGGATATTGTCCGGAGCTCCAGGGACTCTTGCGAAAACCTCTTTGGTCCC